TTCTAAATTCCATACAGCAGTAAGGTTTCTTACAAGCTTTTCGGGCTCGTCCTACCACCGGCATTAGCTGCTCAAGGGAACTTCAGTGGAAGTGACCATGACTGTCTGGGGTATTGTGGCTGTTCCAAAACCAGTTCCACTGGACACTGTGGATCTGTCAGCACTGCATTTACAGTCCCTACTGCAGAGCCATTAACGTATGTTCAAGAGGAAAATACACAGTGTTTGGAGAACCTGCATTCTCCAGGTCTGGGGCAACAACATAAGCAGGATGTGGACCTGTTGAAGTGAGTCCAGAGGGCTGGAGCAGCTCTGCTTTAGACAGGCTGAGAGAGCTGGGCTGGGTCAGCCTGGAGAACAAAAAGCTCCAGGGAGACCTTAGAGCAGCTTCTAGTGCCTAAAGGGGCTACAAGAAACCTGGAGTGGGGCTTTGGACATGGCAGAATGTGGGGCTTTTTAGTAGTGGCAGGACAAGGAGGAAGCTCCACAGGGAGCCTGGCTATCCAAGATCGTGTGGAAGAAGCGTGATTTACACCTTGTTCATCTTGTACAAAAAGGGAGAAAGTGCAACAGAAGCAGCAAATTATTTCCAAAACATAAATGAGCAGCCACGTGGGGTACAGGTTTTAGCCTTTGATATTTACCATGCTTATGTTGGTACATTAAGTCCAAGCTGCATCAATTCCCAGGGCAGGTTCTAAACCCTGTGTGCTCAGGAGATGCATAGTTTCATTTCAAAACCACCTCAGTCCTTGCTCAGACTAAATCAGTACTGATGGGAAATAGCAACATTTTTTGCCAGATACTCAGCACGTTCTGTTAGTTTTGTGCCATGGTAAACCAGAACTAAAAAGAAGTATTTTTTGGGATCTTAGAACAAAGCGTATCATCTATCTACACTCCCCCAGAGAGTACATTTTGAACGTGGACTTTCAATGTGACCACGTCCGTGCTTTTCTCTTACAAAGAGATGACATGGAAATGTCCAGCTGCATCTCTCCCTTAGCTACCAGACAGCACTCTCAAAGCTAGGACAGCTACCAACTGAAGTTTGGCCTTTTAAAGCTATTAGTCTGGGCAGTAATCCTTTCTATTCTGTATTCTAAATACTCTGATTGTGACTTGTCTTCACCATGCCTCTATGGCTATAGTCTTTAATCAGCTTAATAACATAAACAAGCCCTGTTCCTAAAGTAAAATACTTACAGAAATAAAGAGCAGGAGCCAGTTAGCACAGTAATCATTTATACAACAACAGGAGGTAACAGTAAAGGTATATAAGTGGTACAACCTCAGCTTCCTTATGTGCAACCTGACCTTGAACTGCTCTGTTCACATAGGTTATCCTGTGCTGCTGAGGCAACAGGCTGGGAGTAAATACTACAAATAAAGTCACAGCCCCACAAAACCACCACTAAACTGCACTTGCATCCTGCACTGATTTACAGGGAACTTCTTAAAGCCTTGCAGCACGCTGGGAAGATACCTGTGACAATCCCAGGGGCTCCCTTTCAGGGTCCACTCCATACTTGGGAGCTGAGAAGTGGAAAAAAGCTCTATTCATTTTACCAGAGCGAGAAGCCTCTCTGGATCAAAGCGCTAATGAGCACATATTTCAGTTCCTCCTCCCCTATCCAAATCTGAATCCCTCCCCAGCCCTTCAGCGTCACAGGCTCCTGAGCTGACTTTCCAAGGCTGCTTCCCGCTTACACATCCCTGTGCCTTCCCTTGTCCTACTTTTAATAAAAGATCACACCAACCCTATTCAATTACCCAGTTCTCCCCTCGCCAACAGTCCCGTTCTGCCAAACTGACCTGTACCTATGAGCTGGGGAACCTGACCCATTATTTCCAAACCTTTAAGCAAGGGATAGAGTTTCACAGCATTAGAAACAAGATCCAGAAACACCCAGGGCATATAAGCCCTTTCCATCCAGCATGATATGCTGACGAGTCCCTTCACACATCACAAACCGCAAGGACCTCATTATTTAGTCTGATGGTATAAATATTTTCCCTGAGTCTGAGATATGCCACCATTTTTGGACAATAAGCAAAAGTTCAGAGAATAAACAAAGATAATGACTTACTGCTTGCCTAAAGGCTCCTTTCAGCTATGCTATGGAGCATTAAAGAGTCTCCTCAGCAGACCCATCCCTACCCTTGAAATAGATGAAACTCTTCTTTTAGAAAGTTATTTCCAAGTATTTAACTGAAAATAAATATCAAGATCAGTTTAAGCATAAGCAAAACCACACCAGCTAACAAACCAGGGTAAGTTATCTCTGGCATGTGCCACTTCAGGAACAAGAGATAAGCTCCAACAGCAGCTCCTCCATGCACTGAATCACGCTACGATGATGATGAAACCATCAGAGGTGCCATCTCGCTTGGGCTCACGAGCATGAACCAAGTCAACCAATGTTGCCAGAGCAAGAGAACTCCACCCACTGCCTTCAGCAAAGGTTTGAGTTGCTGCGCAGTGACCAAAGAGCAGCCAGAGCACAGAGGGATTTGTCAAGGAGAAGCTTCAAGATGCTCTGCAAGCTCTTGGCTCAAAACTCTTCTACTTTTATTAAAAATACCATGAAAAACGCAGCTTGTCGTTCCCTTTTCCGCAGAGGGAGGGTATTTCCTCTCCTTTCAAAAGCCACAGTTCTAGCTGCACTAGTGCAACAATGCCTCTATGTCTATAATCCTGAATCAGCTTCATTTATTTTTTTCCTGTCCTTAAAGAGGAACTGGTGTTTTCCAGAAACCTGCATGGGCAGTCACATAATCACACTCATATGAGAGCTTAAATTACTAGTTTGAAAACTCTTGATAGACAAGTTTTCAAAAGCGCTGCTGCACCTATAGCGCGATGTTTGAGTCGTTAAGGTAATTACACACTGTGTTTGTATAATAAAGAACCTAACACACACTTTATAATTGCACATCCACAATGCTCCCTGGCGTTACATCAGAACTGCAGAGAACTGGGTTAATGCGAGCAGTGTTTAAATCCCCATAAAACCCCCCGCCTCTATCTTGGAGCTGAAAGGAGAAGGGACATCTACCCCCCAAAATCCTCCTCCTCTCATTATTCCTTTAAGTATTATTCCGCATGTACAAATACATGAAATTCCCATTCCAAGGGTTGCTGGAGCTCCAGGACAAGCGCTGCAGCCCCTCGCGACTGGGGTAAAGCCACCACCGCGGTCTCCGACCCTCGGAGCCAGACAGT